GCTAGCTCTCCACTTTGCCAAAAGAGAGCATATCTAATAAGTCAAAGGTGGAGCTAGAAAATGGAATACCCCCGAAATACTCAATGTATCCAAATTAAACGGAAAAAGGGGGTGGGAACAGATGTGACAAGTAGGAAAAACAAGATCGTACGCTTAATGATAATTACATTAAATGTGAATGGTCTGAATGTCCCCTAAAAGGCGGAGGTTGTCAATCTGTATAAAAAAGGATTAAGTATGCCACAAAAGCACTTTTAATAGAAAGACACAGGTAGGTTAAAATAAAAGGACAGATTAAAATAGACCAAGATACACTAACCATAAACATGCTAGAATATGTATATATTATCAGACAAAGCAGATTTCAGGACAAATAATATTTCATAAATAATAAGAATCCATTCATCAAGAAGACACAAGAATCCTAAATGTATATGCACTAATAAAAAGGTTTCAGTTTTCATGAAGTAAAAACTGAGAACCAAAAGGAGAAATAGACAAATCTGCAATTCTAATTTGAGATTTCAATCTTCCTCTCTCAATGATCAACAGAACAAGTAGAGAAAAATCAGTAAGGACATAACAGACTTGAACAATACTATCAACCAACTTGACCTAATTAGCTTTTATAGAACACTCCACCCAACAGCAGCGGATTCAGATTCTTTTCAAGCACACAGGAACCATTCATCTAGACAGACCACATTTGGGTCAAAAATAAGCTGAACAAATTTCAAAGGAATGAAATGACAGAACCTGTTCTCTAACCACAGGGGAACCAAATTAGAAATCAATAATAAAATGGTATCTAGAAATGTACCAAATAGTTAAAAATTGAACAATATACTTCTAAATAACCAGGGGTATTTTGGGAATTGATAGAAATATGAAAAAAAAATCTGAGATCTTGGTGGTAGTAGCAAATAAAGAAAAAATTTGAAAAAATAATATCATTAATATTTGTTATTTCAAATTAGAAAACAGAGGTCCGAAGTGGTTCTGTTTTCGAAGTGGTTCAAAGTGACGTATTTAAGATTTGACAGTGAGAATGCTCTCCCCAGGCACAGCGCTTAGTACACACTGACCTGACTCTGGTTGTTTCACTAGATCTTTTCCTCCCTACCAGACTGTGTATTCCCTGAAGACATGGCCTATTCCTGTATCCCTGCATTGCTCAAAACATAAATATGCATTCAGTCAACGATAAATAAACAGTATATGGATAATGGCAAAGCAAGGACCTGAATGTCCAAGGCCCAGGGCAATGTATCCAAGAATCCTGAATCCAAGGCCCAGGGCAATGTATATTCTTTTATACACGTAGACTGGTAGAGAGCAAGAATTACTGGCTGTGGAGTCAGACAGGACTGATTCATATCCAACTCTGTTATCTCTTAGTTGTGTTCTACTCAAGTTACTTAATTTCCCAAGTTCCTTGTCTATGAAATGGAAAAACAATAACAGAGCTGAGGTTGGGATCTGATTGCTGAGTGGAGAGTTGTCATTCCTTTTGGCTGCCAAAGATCTAGCCTCCCTTCCATTTGGTGTTTGAGAACTCTCCATCTGATGCATCAGAGCCCTCCTCTTATCATAAATCTGGAAAACACCAGACTGCCAGCAACTTGAGCATGGGCATGGGACTGAAGCTCCCCACAGTAAGGCGCACCTATCCTGGATTTCAAATCAGAGGCCAGTGATGTGGACAGTGGGAGTCACACAGAATTTAGCACCTGCAGTTTTCAGGGGCAGCAGGGCCAGCTGTTCTAGAGCTGTACTGACCACCTGAACTTTCTGTGATGATGGAATGTTCCACAGTGTGACAGAGCTAATGTGCAGAAATCCCTTAGAGCTATGCTGGCCATTAGGGTAGCCACTGGTCACATATGACATGTGCTGGTCACATATGACTAGGGAGCACTTGAAATGTGGCTAGTGCCACCGAGGAACTGAAACTTAAATTTTATTTGATTGTAATTAATTCAAATTTAAGTAATCACATGTGTCTATTGGCTCCCATATTAGATAGCTCAGTTCTCTAGGCAATGCCCAGGGCCCAGTGTTGGTGGTTTCGGCTGTGTAAGCTGTAGGTCCAGGTTCAGAGGTGGCAGCATAGGTGTTCTAATCTGTCTTGCAATAGATTTGGGACATTATTCTTGGCTGGGTAGTTGCCAAGCCCAGTTCCCTGGTCTTCCATCATGTTTTGTTAAATTCCTTTTCTGCATAAACTCCCAGGTGGGTTTGTGATTCTTGTCACCAAGAATCCTAAGTGATTCACATACAAATGAGAATGTGCAGAAGTGATTAGCACAGCTCGGGAGGTGCTGAATACATCGTCTGCATCCCTTTCCTAGGAGTCAGTGTATGCAAATGCGAATTACAGGATGTGGACTGTGCTGTCCATCAGGATTCGGTGACAGTAGCATCTAATCTGGGGTCAAGGAAGGCATCAAGGCCTCCAGGTCAGCTCCAGGCCACCTCCTATAGTGTGTTCTTTAGGTTAGGGTAGCATTCAGGATACACAACATACCTGCAGACAAGGGCTCAAAGAAATAGTGCACTCCTAACTCTACAGGGGACAATGGTATCTATTTTTAGTCCATAAACCCTAGATTGGAGGCCTCTTTAAGGTTTTACCTTTCCCAATCTGCATGGCCTAATTTAAATGCTCAGTTCTTGAAAATGAACAAAATGTAAAACCAAAAAAACCAAGTAAGTGCAATTTATTGCGACATGATTCATATCCCAGATGGACTCATGCCCCCTATTAAGGCCGAAGTGAGATTTACACATTCAGAGTCAGGTGTGGCTGACAGGTTACCAGGGCAACCTGTAGCTCTGCAAGACCATGCTGCGCTCCCTCCTGCCGCTTGCGGCCGGGGATGGAAAGAGTGTCCATCTGTTTGTCTGAGGATTAGGTTTGTGCAACCAGTTGCAGCTCACGGGGAGGAAAAAACGCTTTCACTACAGCTGCCTACCCAGCGTGAAGCAACGGGCTCTGGAGTCAGGATATCAGGTTTGAATTGCAGCTCCACCACTTAGCTGTGTGTCTTGATATATAACATCTTTGACCTTCAGTTTCCTCAACTCTAAATGGGGATATGAACATTTTGTAATATTGTTGGAAAGATTAAATGCGTTCTAAAGTATCAGGTACTTTATAAAGTATAATGGGCATGAAATAATATTATCACACATTATGTTACCCAATGCACATGGAAATTAACAATGAGAGCTGGGCATGGTGGCACACGCCTATAATCCCAGCACTTTGGGAGGCTAAGGTGGGAGGATCCCTTGAGTCCAGGAGTTCAAGACCAGCTGGGCAACATAGTGAGATCCCCATCTCTACAGAAAAATTTAAAAATTAACCAGGCATGGTAGCGTGCACCTGCAGCCCCAGTTACTCAGGAGACTGAGGTAGGAGGATCCTTTGAGCCCAGGAGGTGGAGGCTGCAGTGAGCCATGATCACACCAATGCACTCCAGCCTAGGCAAGAGAGAGAGACCCTGTCTCAAAAAAAAAAAAAAGAAAAAAAGAAAAGAAAAGAAAAAAAAGAAATTAACAATACTTACCGTATCTTGAACTTTCATTACATGCTTTGCACTAAGATAAGGGTTTATATATACTATAACACCATATTTAATTTACATAATAAGCCCTTGAAGTATTTAGCCCTATTTTAGAAATCAGGTTTTAGGCCGGGCATAGTGGCTCACGCCTGTAATTACAGCACTTTGGGAGGCCAAGGAGGGCGGATCATGAGGTCACCAGATGGAGACCAACCTGGCCAACACAGTGAAACCCCGTCTCTACTAAAAATACAAAAATTAGCTGGGTGTGGTGGCACACGCCTGTAGTTCCAGCTACTTGGGAGGTTGAGGCAGGAGAATTGCTTGAACCTGGGAGGTGGAGGTTGCAGTGAGCTGAGATCGTGCCACTGCACTTCAGCCTGGTGACAGACCAAGACTCTGTCTCAAAAAAAAAAAAAAAAAATCAGGCTTCAGAGAGGTTGTATGACCTTTCTACAGCCACACAGCTTGTGTTAGGGTTAAGACTTAGATCCAAGACTAGTCTTGATCTTTTGATCTTTCACAAGTTCATTTAACATATAATCTTGAGTATTTACTACTTGTAACCCCCGCACAACAGTGCACGCCCCAGTGATACAGTATTATCTTTCAGTGAACACTCAAAGCTGGTACTGCAGAATCTTGGGCTATAAAGAGGCCTCCTTGTAATAATTAAACAAAGCATTCCACCTACGTTCACCATGATATTGCTTCACACTTCATTCTTTTCCGAAATCTTCACGTTACTTACTTATTCCAGCAAACACAAGAGATGAGGCTTCGCATGACTTGCCAGTAGAAAGCCGCCCTGTTTGGAGAGAGAGTGGAACAGCACACACGGGCAGAATGTTCCCTCACTGCGCACGTGTCCTAGGCATTAGGATACGCCTTGTTTCTTCACGTGGCTCCTCATTAAATCCTTGCAGCTACTCTACGAAGTGCTATTATTATTATCCTCCATTTTACAAATGAGGATCCTGAGGCACGTGGAATTTCCCTCTGTGGGGGCCCAGGTTAAATCACTTGAAGTGTGGTGATAGAGTGGGGAACTGGATCCAGGAAGTCCTCCAGGCCTGAATTTTTGGTTCATGGTATTTCTCTGTGTGTTTTTGCAGAGTAAGTGGAGTTGAATTTCCCTAAGTTCACCACTCATGACATGATTCCGCCCCACTTCAACGACTCCAGGCTTATAGGGGTGTCCCTCTGTCTCCTCCAAAAGATCCTGGACTCCCTTTGGAGAAGGCATAGGGAGCTCTGCTATCTATCATAACTGTACGTTTCATCTGTGTGTATTCAGAGAAGAAGCTTACATTTGTACAGAGCAGGAGCTCGGTAAATGTTGGAGGAAGAAAAGAAGGAACAAAAAAGGGAAGAAAGAAGGTGGGAGAAAGAAAAAAGAACCGGAACAGTCTCCATGGAAGTAGGTCTCACCTTCTGCAGTTTCTTTCTTTCGGCCTCCACAGATGAGCGAACGGATTTGATTTCCACGGTGTGCTTCTTTACCAAGTCTTCCAGTCGCTTCACTAGCTGGTCTTTGAGATGTTTCTTCTCCTCTTCTGTCTGATGTTTGATTTTACGAAGGTCTTCTTCATATTGTTGCTTCATATATTCTGTCTCAGCACTTGCCTCTTTCTTGGTCTATAAAAAGAAAAAGGACCTTGTAAAACCGCTGGGGAGGGATGAGGAGCAGGGAATCACGATTTCCCTTTCATACAACTGTTACAAGGTTTATACATCATTTTTTACAGCACGTAGCACAAGGTGCAATCAATTTTACAAGACTATATATTTGATGTTAGTAAGAGTCTCCACCACTGGAAAACGACTTTTTGGAATGGTGTATCTATTATCATGAGATTGGATATTTCAGCCCATACTATGGTAGATTTTAAATAATGCTCTGCTTGTTTTGACTGGGGACATGCAATGAGATCCTAAGCCAGTTTCCAGTTTCCCAGAAGCTGATGACATAGCATTGGGAGGATTCTGCTACAGTCTCAGTCTCCCGGCTTCCAATGGCATGGAGTAGGCAGTAAGTTGGCTGGAATTCTACTCCAGGAACTACGGGGTCTGCTGATTCCAAGTGGATCCACTATGTTTGGGAACTGGCCTCTACCTGATGCTTATGATAGATAGCAAAGCTCTCTGTGCATTGTCCATTCACAGGGCTGGGTCAGACACTACCTGCATATCTGTGCCTCCTTTCACGCAAGGGCACTCCTTGAGACAGCTTTGATCATGCTGAGGATGAAGATTGCCGGCTTCCAAGTCATTCTCTTCCCCTAGGACTTTGTTCTCTGAAACTAGCTCAGTCTTCCTGGCATCTGCAAGCATACATTTCAGCATTATTTGGGATGCTCTTGGCCACAGCCTCTGGTTCAAGGCTTTCTGCTGTCAGGCCCCCATTCCGCTTTTCAACCACTTTGTCCAACACCCCCTGTGTAATTCCTGCCCTGTGGTCTGCTGGTCCCCAAGCATGGTCAAGGTAGCAATTCTCATCTCTTCTCAAGAAGCCTCGTGAGCTTAAATAGCTGCCCTGCTCTCCCTTCCTAAATAATCTCCAAATCTTTTTGACTGCAGTTTCCATAGGTTAAAAAAATTGAGCATGTTCCAAATATACGTTCTTTTAATAGGAATTTAAAGGATGAAACAAAAACAAATATTTAATATAAGCAGAATGACTAAGTTTTCCTCCCATATTCTCTAAAGTACTCATGTACCACTTTTGAGACCTCTGCTCGAAATCCACAACACCTTTCTGGTTTCTCCAGAACCAGTACCTCTCCTTCTCTGCACCTTTCTGGTTTCTCCAGAACCAGTACCTCTCCTTCTCTGCACCTTTCTGGTTTCTCCAGAACCAGTACCTCTCCTTCTCTGCACCTTTCTGGTTTCTCCAGAACTAGTACCTCTCCTTCTCTGCACCTTTCTTTCCCGTGATGGCTTCTTTCCCATGCACGTTATTTGTCTGCTGCCTGGGTCGTGTCTATGATACCAAAGCATGCTGTGGGCTGTAAGGTACAGACCCATGAGCTCCCTGAAGGCAGCTCCCAGGTTTTGTGCCTTTGACACTGTGTCCCAGTGTCAGGAGCTTTCTGTTGAGGGGCCTAGGGGAAGGCACTTAGAATCATGTATTTTTGGACACAAGCAAGAGCTCTATCACCAACCAGTTGGCTGACCTTGAACCAGCCACTTATCCTTTCTTGGTCTTATTTCTTCATCTGTAACATGAAAGATTGGCAATACTTTTTGGGCTGAGTGTGGTGGCTAACACCTGTAATCCTAACGCTTTGGGAGGCCAAGGTGGGAGGATCACTTGAGCCCCAAATTTCAAGACAATACTTTGTATTTAATTTCCTTCCTTCCTTCCTTCCTTCCCTCCCTCCCTCCCTCCTTCCCTCCCTCCCTCCTTCCTTCCTTCCTTCCTTCCTCCCTCCCTCCCTCCCTTCCTTCTTTCCTTCCTTTCTTTCTTTCTTTCGAGTTTTGTTGTTATTGCCCAGGCTGGAGTACAATGGCCCAGTTGCGGCTCACTGCAACCTCTGCATCCAGGGCTCAAGCGAGTCTCCTGCCTCAGCCTCCCAAGTAGCTGGGATTACAGGCACCCGTCACCACGCTTGGCTAATTTTCTTGCATTTTTAGTAGAGACAGGGTTTCACCATGTTTGCCAGGCTGGTCTTGAACTCCTGCCCTCAGGTTATCCACCTGCCTTAGCCTCCCAAAGTACTGGGATTACAGGCATGAGCCACCAGGCCTGGCCTGTACTTAATTTTTTAATTTTTATTTTTTCATAGAGACAGAGTCTCACTATGTTGCCCAGGCCGGTCTCAAAGTCCTGGGCTCAAGTGGCCCTCCCTCCTCAGCCTCCTAAAGTGTTGGGATTACAGGCATGAGCCACCATCAATCTGCCCAACCAGATGGACAATACTTATCACAAAATTATTGGAAAGACTCAATAGCATAATTGTGTTAAATGATATTAAAAGCATAAAGCATTATGTAAGTGGTAGGGGGTGAAGGGAGTCAGTGCTAAGAATTTCAGGCACTGTGGTGAGCCTGGTGGGGAAATTTTTGGGGGCAAGGGGTCCTTTCACATCATACCTTTTAGATGTCCAACCTGAGCCAGATCCAGGTGAGGCCGCTGTAGGTATCAGCTCACCTGTACCCTGCAGAGATTGGTCTCACCCACCAGATGGGTCAGATCAAGCAGCCCTGCCCCTCCTCTCTGCTCCCTTAGCAGGCGTAAGGCTGCCAGTAGCACCAGACCAAGCTGGCAGCTAACCTTGGGTCTTTTAAGGAAATCATTCCAGGGCATCTCACCTGTCTTCTGGGTCCCACGACACTCCTGCAGCATCATTCTGTCTTTGGCAACAGCCAGCTTCTCCCCAAGTTTTTTTGCAGTGCCTTTCAACTCCGAATTCTCCTGTCGAGCCTCCTTAAGCTGCACATCCAGGTCCTAAACAGACAGCAAGGGTCCCATTTCTCTGGTTATAGCTCTGTATAGAGACATCCTGTATACATAGAATAGCCATCAGACCTGAAAGGCGGGTATTGCACAGCAGAAGCCCTGAGTCTGTGGAATTCAGTGACCCAGGGCTCATCAAATCCCTCCTCATCCTCTGGTCTTCCTTTAGTGAGGATTAAATGAGATAAAGTGGTTAGAAAAAAAAATGCTCAGGGAATGTTAGAAATGTTAACTGCTTCTACTTTTAGAGATGGGGCTCTGTGCTTTTGTGGGGCTCACATAACTGAATCATCAATGATCCTGCTCTCTATAAACACAAAGTCCTGGGGATTTTAGGGCAGGCAGGTTGCTGTGAAACGAACAGGGGTTTATAGAATCAGGCTGACCTGAGTTCACTTATTAGCCATGTGCCAATGTAGGCTAGTCCTTAAGCCTCTCAATTTCGGTCTTAGCTTCTCATCTATAGACTGTAGGTTTCCAAGTTCTCCAATGTTAGGGACCAAGTTTAACTCACTATGTGTCCCTTTGCCCATAGTCCTGGGCCTGGCAGATAGTCAGTGTTCAATAAATATCTGTAGGCGGGGCGCAGTGGCTCAAACCTGTAATCCCAGCACTTTGGGAGGCTGAGGCAGGTGGATCACCTGAGGTCAGGAGTTGGAGACCAGTCTGGCCAACATGGCGAGACCCCGCCTGTACTAAAAATACAAAAATTAGCTGGGTTGGTGGTGGGTGCCTGTATTCCCAGCTACTAGGGAGGCTGAGGCAGGAGAATTGCTTGAACCTGGGAGGTGGAGGTTGCAGTGAGCTGAGATCACGCCACTGCACTCCTGCCTGAGAGACAGAGTGAGGCTCCGTCTCAAAAATACACAAACAAACGAATATATATCTATTTTTTGTGTGTGGAACGAATGTAGTTGAATTCAATGGAGATAATAGGGCTCACCTCCTTAGAAAGCAAGTGTTTAGCACATTGCCTGACCTATAGCAGGTTCACAATAAGCAGCCCTGCTGATTTATCCCCTTAGGGGTTGTAAGAAGAGATGCTGCTTTACCTGAATCCTCTCCTTCAGCTTCTGGGCGTACTTCTTCAGGTCACTTATCTTGCGGCCTCTGTGCTCCAGGTCTCCTTCCAGCTTCCGCACCTGAGCCTGCAGGGCCGACTCCTGGACCTGGAAGTTCTTGCGGAGGTCCGACTCTTTCTCCTGCCACTGCCACAGAGCCTGGCTCACCGACTGCTGCATGGCCTGCCGGATGGCCTCGTTTTCCCGCTCGTAGGTGGCCTGCAGCTCCTCGGCCTTGCGGGCGTAGTCCTTGCTGAGCTGCTGGTTCTCTACTCGCAGCCGCTGCACCTCTAGCAGGACCTCCTGCATCTCTGGGCCCTGGCCTGGCTCTGACTTGGTATCAGGGCTCTCCTGGGGCGGCCGGCCCCGCGGGGGAGCCTCGTGGCTCGTCAGGTGCTGGAGCCTCCTCTCGTAGTCAGCCTTGAGCTCCAGCATTTCCCTGGAGAGCGTGAGGACCCGCTCGGCGTGCTCCGCCTCCACCCTCAGCTCTCTCTCCTTGGTCTCCAGCCTGCAGGAGGCCGACTCAGCCAGCGCCTCCTGCGTCAGCCTCTTCTGCAGCTCCAGGGCGCTCTCCAGGGCCTGGATGCGCTGGAGAAGCGCCTCCTCCTCTGCGCAGCCCTGTTCCTGCAGGAGCCTGGCCTTGGTCTCTGCCACCGCATTCTGGAGCTCCTCCTGGTGCGCTTCCCGCAGCGCCTCCATGCTGGCCTCAGCCTCATCCTGGCGGGTGTTCAGGGCATAAATCACCTGCAGGAAAATCAACAGAGCCCAATTAGGGCGAGGGGGCTGGGGTGTGGGAGGGCTGAGGAGACCAGAGATGCTTCTCCTGCATGGCGGTTGATCTGAACAAGAGGCACCTGAGAAGAGGATTTGCGTGGAGGGGATTTATTAGAAACTGTTCCCAGGAGAAGCCAGTGAGAGAGCTGGAAAGTGCGACAGGGAAGGAGTTGGGCTGGGAGCAGAGCAAAGGGGTGACGTTGCACAAAGGCCCCAAAGAGGGCAGCTTTGGCCGAATTCCAAAGGGGACCTCTGCAGTACGGTGGGAATCCACCGAAGAGTTTTAAAGCAGAGAAGTGATGTCATCTCATTTGTTCAGAAGGAACACTTTGGAATGCAAACCCCCGAACATAACACTTAGAAAACTGGACAGAGGCCAGGCACAGTGGCTCATGGCTGTAATCCCAGCACTTTGAGATGCAGAGGCAGGCAGATCACCTGAGGTCAGGAGTTCGAGGCCAGCCTAGTCAACAGGGCGATCTGGTCTCTACTAAAAGTACAAAAATTAGCTGAGTGTGGTGGCGGGCACCTGTAATCCCAGCTACTTGGGAGGCTGAGGCAGGAGAATAACTTGAACCCAGGAGGCGGAGGTTGCAGCAAGCCGAGATCATGCCATTGCACTCCAGCCAGGGCAAAAAGAATGAAACTCCATCTCAAAAAAAGAAAACAAACAAACAAAAAAACTGGACAGAGTGATATATAAAAAGGCCAGTATAACTTGAAAAGCAGCTAATGTAATACCCCACATCAAGAGTAAAGGACAAAAACCACAGGATTGTCTCAATAGACACAGAAAAAAAATATTTGACAAAATTCAACATCTTTGAGTGATAAAAAACTTACTCAACAAGCAAGGCACAGAAGGGACTCTTCTCAGCCTCATAAGGCACATCTAGGAAAAGTCCCCAGTTAACACCATACTCAATGGTGTAAGACTAAATGCGTTCCTCGTAGGATCAGGAAGAAGACAAGGATGTCTGTTCTTCCACTTTTAACACAAAAGAAAAAAAAGAATGCTTTCTTTGCTGTGTGAAGAACTGAATGAAGGAAGACAGGAGCACAGTGAGAAGCCCAGGAATCAAGAATGACTCCTAGGATGTTGACCTGAGCCACAGATTGGTGTTTTCTGAAATGGGAAAAACTGTAGGTAGAACAGGTAAGGAGAAGAAAATCGAGAAGTCTAATTTGGACGTAGTAAGTTTGATGTGCCTCCGGACGTACTAGTGGAGACGGCACCAAGGCACACACACAGATAAATGTCTGGCGCTCAGAGGAGGGAGCCTGAGCTACAGATGAAGCGGGTGGAGTCAGGAGAGTTTTGTTGCTGTTTGCTTGATGAGAGACTCCAGAACGTATCTGTAGGATGATGGGAATGACCTCAGGGAGAATCCAGAAGTTGAAGCCAGGCACAGTGGCTCACGCCTGTAATCCCAGGACTTTGGGAGGCTGAGGCAGGAAGATTACTTGAGCATAAGATTTTGAGACCAGCCTGGGCAACATAGGGAGACCCTGTCTCTACAAAAAAAAAGAAAAAAAGCTGGGCACAGTGGCTCACGCCTGTAATCCCAGCACTTTGGGAGGCCGAGGCAGTGGATCACATGGTCAGGAGTTTGAGACCAGCCTGGCCAATATGATGAAACCCCGTCTCTACTAAAACTACAAAAATTAGCTGGGCATGGGGCGGGCGCCTGTACTCCCAGCTACTGGGGAGGCTGAGGGAATCGCTTGAACCCGGGAGGTAGAGGTTGCAGTGAGTAGAGATTGCGCCACTGCACTCCAGCCTGGGTGATAGAGCAAGACGCGGTCTCAAAAAAGAAGAAGAAGAAGGAGAAGGAGAAGGAGAAGGAGAAGAAGAAGGGCATGATGGCACATGCCTGTGGTCTCAGTTACTTGGGAGGCTGAGGTGGGAGGATCACTTGGGCCAGGGGGATTAAGGCTACAGTGAGCCGTGATCATGCCACTGCACTCCAGCCTGGGTGACAGAGTGAGACCCTGTTTCAAAACCAAAACAAACAGAAGTTGAAGCCCCAGGAATAACAGTAGATAATAAAGGGCCAAAATCCCTGAGAAGGGTACCTCAGAGATTGGTTTTAAGAGCCATGAGAACACATCCTCATGGGGATAGGATGGAAGGAAGAGGTGGAGACAGGTGTGTGGCACTTGGGACAGGTGAATGAGGGAGCTCTCACCTTGTAGACATGAGAAGGTGGCTAATTCTACATTCTCAGTGGAATGAGACAAGGTCACTAACAGTGAGCTGAGCTGGAGGACAGGAAGAAAGCATAGAGGTGTGAGGTGTGAGAAGTTGTGAATTCATTTTCAGGATGGGGAAGCCAGTGGTCTACGTTACCATGTGGCATCAGAGGCTGTGTTGAGTGACGGTTCTCTCTGCTATACTGTGAGATTTTCCTTAGTCAGGTTCATCTGAATGAGTTCAAAGAAGGACAGGAAGGATGGATGGGTTATCTGGAGTTGGAGTTTTATTTGGTGGGTATGACAGAAAGAGAAGACAAGGTATTTTCAAGAGCCAACATGCTGAAAAGATGGAGCAGAAGCAGTTTTTTGGTGATGACAAGGCCACATGGCAAAGGGAGCGTGTGACTGAGGCCAAGTAGAGGAAAAGATCACTGGAGATAAGGGGGTCAAAGACTGAGAAGTCCAGGGCAAGGTGAACCCCACATGAGATGTCCTCACTGAGAACAATGCAAGAGAAGCTGGGCTGGTGTAGACGCCGTGGAGTCAGATGCCAAACACGACACTGGCTCTCTGGGGCATTTACAATCAGAACAGTTTTCCTGAAGACTCTCCACCACCCCCTTTCACACGGATTCACTTTTAGCCTTTGTGGGTTGCTGGTTTTTCCTTATCCATGAGGCTGTCGATTGAACTAGACTCTAACTTCATTGCCAGGTTTCTACCACTGATTCACCCACGGTTTTCAAACTGCACTCCTTGTAGTCTTGAGCTCTCTGATGGAAGTCAGGGCAACATCAGGGAGCCTGGGGGAGGATGAGCAAGTGGGGGCCCCCCATCAACCAGGGAAGAGCTTTCACACTCAGGCTTTCCTAGCATAGAGTTTAGAAAAAAAAAAAAAGGCTTTGTATGGCTTTAAAAAAGAAAGTCAAAAACTAGAGGCTTAGATAATCGTGAAATAGAAAATAGACCAATTGGGAATAGTATATGAGAGGAAGTTTTGGGTGTCACTGTGTGCCTGTGTGTCTGTGCATGTGTGCGTTAATTATAAAATCATCATTGAAGGCCAGATGGCACCACTAGAGGTGACATGTGTAATAGATTTAACAACGGTTTACCTGGAGGCTGTAGATCTTGAAGAAAGAGTGTATATATATCCAGGACACAGCCTAAGATCTTATTTTTCCTTGTCTCTGTCTGATACAGTTATCTGTTTTTTGTCTGTCTTCCTCACCAGAATGTAAGCTCCAGGAGAGAGAGGCTTGGTCTTCCTTGTTCATTACTCTCTGTCCTCAGTGCTTGGCTCAAGTGGACACTCTAAAAATTACTATGTGAATGAGTGAATAAAGGAGTCAGAACTCTATCTTGAAGAATGTAACTCAAGGTGTGAGATGAGTTTGACATCTTGTGAAGCCCTGGGAGAATAAGCACTACTTTGAGAACCATGAATCCAACACTCTGTCACGGACAGGAGAAGGAAATCCCCTTGTCCTTCCAGAAGATCCCACAATGAAATGAAGTGCTGTCTCCAAAACTCCTCCCTCTCATCACTTTGTGCACAGGATTTGGCCACTTTTGTTAATTTCTGTGACCTCCTAGTGACTTCCATCCAAGAATATATCTGGAAGCTGAAATTGGTTTCCCATTGGCTATAATTTATGTTAATAGCAAATACCATTTTAATCAAATTTACTATGTGCCTAGCACAGGGATAGGTGCTATATACACATTCCTAATCTCAGAGGATCCTCATGGCAACCCTGAAATTTGGTATTTTTCTGAGCAATTGAGATTCGGAGAAGTTCAGTAACTTTTGCAAAGTCCCAGAGATAAGAAGGTTTGAGTAACGTTTCGTGCCTGGTGCCACACTGCATCTCACCATCTCAGTCATTTATTCATTCGCGGATTCACTGCACATCTCGGATGTGGCAGGATCTGTGCTGGACACTGGGGTTACATGCTGGCCAATAAGACAACTGAATTTGCAACTTCAGAAATATTACAATTCAGTAGGAGAGTCAAACAAGAAAGTGGAAAGTTTCAATGCACTGCGATGAGTGCTAGGAGAGGATTCATCACCAGTTACTATGGAAACACAGAGGAAGTGGTCTGGGAGGAAAGAAGACTTCCCAGAAAAAAGTGGGCCTTGCCTCCTCATCCTTGGGGTGACCAATCCCCTTTTCCATGTCAAGCTGCACATGGACAAGAACAATATCACTTATTTGGGCTGCTCAATAGCACTTGGTATAAAGTTGGGTATACAGTTGGTTCATAGTAAGTATCTGCTGTGGGGCTACTGTAAGTCATCAAGGATTCACGCTTTCCTTCCACGCGAAGAGCTACTGCAGAGCAGCCACTGAGCAGAGGCCCCATTTCCTAGCTCCTTGCATTGGGTGAGGTCCTATGCCTGGTGATTGCCAATGGAATTTGGGTAGATGGGGTGATGTGTGTCATCCTGGGGCCAATGTGGGGAAATTAAGAAGGGCTCATATTCTTTCCACAGTTTCTTTTTTCATTTGCAAACTTAATTAGGAGTCAGAGGCCTTAGAGGAAGGCAGAGTTCGAGATGGAAGGCATCCGAGCCCTGAAGGACCAGGGAGAAGGCCACCTACTCCCTCAGGAACACTGTCATCGATCTTTACATCAATAACTACCGTGCTGAGCCTCTGACATCTTGGCATTTATCTGTAACAGCATCAGTTAGTATCTGTTCGGGGTTCCCGAGACTAGCTCCAGGTTTAACCATTCATTAGAGGACTCGGAGGACTCAGTATATA